TCCCTGAAGTCAGCTGCAGATATAAGGAGAAACGTATTTCACTCTGAACCTTAGAGAGGTAGTTGAGAACAGCCATATTCTTTCAAAGACAAGTAGATTGCATTATCTGTGATATTCCAGTCCTTACAAAGCCAAATAAAATGTGTAAAAGTTCCTAGTATTTCAAAGACGCAAGTATGTAAACTTGATGTTAAATGTGTTAATGTAGTATTCTAAATTGTATCAGTTAGGTAGTTTAACTAAACAATTAGAAGAACTAGATCAACAAAATAGGGACTGCTGTTCTGCATAGGATATACACACACCTATAACTACACCCATATACACATTCTGTGAATTGTCAACAAAAAAAAAAGCCCAGTGGCAGAGAATCACGTTTCCTGGCTAATGCAAAAGATTGTCATTATCTTTCTTGCTTTAATTTGAGATTGTACAGTACAAAGGGGTTTTCTTTAATTATGATTTTTAGCTTTAATTGTGCTGTCATTCATGAAACAGAGCTGCTTTAGTATCCTGTTAAGAGATGACAAGGGCTTTCGGTGTCTCATTATATACAAAAGAAAAACAAATAAAGTTACATTCCATGTTATGTGAATGGTCTTACAAATCAAAAAGCCTTTGCAGGCTAAAATCATAATTATAACAAGCAGAAAATAAGTTTACATTTGTGTTATTTAAGTTATTGATGTGCTGACGTTATTTTATGGTACACGACAAATAGCAAAATGTGATATGCAGTAATGAAGCTATGATATTCATTAATAGGACTACTGTATACGTGGAAATATTAGACAAAACCAATTAAATGTGTAAACCATTTTGTTATACAGCTTGGGAGTAGATAATTATAATGCTGAATAAGTCTTTTTCCTCATGCTTAATTTTGCCCTGGCTAAGAAACAGGTTAAGAGTAGGAAAGGCAAAATTAGAGTTGACTGCATTTAGATGAGAAGCGTTGGCAGAAACCCACCATCGTGCCATTTAGACCCTTGATCCTGTGTGTCTTAGGTGTCTCGAATAATGCAAGCGAGGGTGGAAGTGGTTCAGCATGTGGAGCTGAAGCTGGAGCAGAAATCTTGGACCCCGTGAGGTCAGTGGAGGCTTTGCTCTGCTTTGAACAGAGCCAGTTTGTCCGAATGCCTTTTATCTGAGCAGAGGGGAAGGAGCTGCACACAGCTCCTGTAATTTGAGGCTTATGGTTAATGGCTTAAAAGCCCCATAAACTTTGTCAATAAGCAGCACCATGGCTAGGCAAGGACTCGCAGCCTGAGTTTAACACAGGCAGAAAACAGGGTGGGCTGCAAACAACCTACTGTGTTTCGTACACTCTTTTCTGTAATCGCATAAGAGAAAAAAAAACCACATCTGTGCATGCTGGATGGTGATACTGGCAATGTCCACAATGACTTTAGCAGAGCAAGAATTTTACCTGCCCTTAACCCATCCTCCCAAAGCCCTTGTGGGAACCTCTGCACTGTTCCCAGTGCCTGCTCCAGTGCAGAAACCAGCCCAAGCGACCTCCTCAAAAGGCAGTGCAGGTGCAGGTCTGGTGTGCGGGGGGCACTCGGCGCCGAATTCGGTGGGTGTCCTGGCAGGTGACTAGGCTGCAGGCAGGCGTAGATGTAGGGAAGGGGCAGCGAGATCAGGCACGTAGGGGACAGTGGCCCATTAGGGTACATTTGTCGTCATGATGGAAATTGGCTGCCATCTGCTTCAGGAGATGACGCTTCACACGTGCATTCACACAGGTCCTATAGCCCTTTCCTATTGTACCATCAGGCTTTTCCTCTGAGGTTTTCCACAGGAGTCAAATGTGGTAATCGACATTAAAGAAATTGAGGATGAGACCAAAACTGACATACATTGCTTTTCTTACTTTTTTTTTCTAAAAAAACACACACATGATATTTAGACATCATATTTAACCCACTCACATGTATTTAAACACTGAACCAGTTAACCTCAGCATAGTGACACCTCAACAATACTCCAGCTGTTCCAACCTATGAGCCACAACATATAAACACAGTTAATTGGGTCCTATATATTTCCCCTGGGGTGAGCCTTGGGGTCATGCTTTCAAATTTTTCTGTCCACTCCCAGAACCCTTTTTTTCCTAGTTATTTTAAATAAAGTTATAATTCTGTTGCATTCACACATGCCACGTGGAACTCAAAGTTTGTGTAAATTACCAAGCATTATGGGACCTGTGACCACAGATGCTGGAATGCTGTTAAGGGATTCACTATTAAAGTCAGGAAAGTTACACTGGTGATAAGGTCAGTGTGCCAGGGTCGAAGTCTGTGTTTCGTGTTTTGATGCATTAATCAAATGTACTGAAATAAAACCAGAAATTTTGGTATGGATTTATGCTTAGGCAGCTGCAAGTAGAATTTGACTCTTCTTGAACACTACTTCTGTGTAGTGGGTGCTTTAAGGAAAATATTTTCAACTGCCTAGTGGAAGAACAAAAACTTGAGTATCTGCAGCCTCTTTAAATTGTGCCTGTGACAAGAAGGAAACCCCTCATGCTTACAGACCTTCTGTAAATCAGAGTCACAAATTATTTCTGTCTGGGCTCACTGATAACACCCAACTAAGAGCAGCTGGCTCCAAAAGAGACCTCTCACCAGAATCTCACAGTAAAATAAAACAAGCTTTACTTACAAGATAAGGGCCAAAGAGTGCAAAAGGAATTACTCAAAAGAGCCAAGCTGGCTAGTAGGTGTAAAGTATTGAGCACAAGTTGCAGGAGAGACAAGGAGGGAGAAGACCTTTTCCCTATCCCAGGAGAAAGTATTTCCAGGCTGAATGCTCACTCCTTCTGAGACAAGGAAAAGCAAAGCGGGAGGAGGATGGGCTCCGAGTGCCAGGAGCCCAGGCTGGGGTGGCTGGTGGGACAAAGCCGGCGTGGAGGGGTCCCTGCTGCAGCAGTTTGTTACGCAGCGGGTCCCGGAGTGCAAGCGTGGGTCTGTGGATTTGTTCGGAGGAACATCCATGATCTTAACAACTTGTGAACTTCAAGGCCTGGGTGTATTTCATTTTTCTCTCCTGAAAGTAAAAACGTGGGACGACGTTTTACTTGAGAGCAGTTGTACCTCGGGGATCAATATTCGGGTGGTTTTCAAGCAACAAAGAACATAAGACACCGATTATTGTGACCGTGAGACAGCAGCCGTTGTAAGCGGTGCCAGATAGAGCGTATTAGTGCAGTAATATTGCTGGTAGTCCTAGGCTGTCCTGTCCTTCAGAACCAGTAACAGAAATATTCCGTGGTTATATTCACATCATAAATACAGACATACTGTAAGTAACAAAAACGGCTTTGATCAAGGAATAAATGAAAGCAAATCGCAGACCGTACTGCGTAGGTTCAGGACTTGATCCGATGCCTACTGAAAGTGAGATTGTTGGCGAGATGTCGAGTGAGTTCAGTGAGCCTTGCTTCAGCCTGCTGCAGCCCAGACGCAGAGAGCGAT